CTTCTTCTTCTAATAATTCATAGTCCGGCACGATGATTGTCTTGTGAATACCTAAGGACGCTCGATATCTGTTTCTGTTTTGGACTTTGCTCACTACTGTCACCCCTTTCACACTGTCATGACATGAAAGTAATACACAAACAGCTGTGATAAATGTGAGCGGTCAGTGATGATGATGGCCCCGTCTTTTGAAGCTGGCTAGTGTTGTATTATTTGTTTCCTCTTGTTTTCACCGAATATGCAATAAGGAGAAACTGTCTCAGTGGACACCAGAGTGGGAATAAGAAACAACATTTGACAGAGACACTCAATATTTTGATGTCAGATCTAGCCTTGGAGGCAATGGACCGCAAGCAAGTCACTGCCTTGGTGTTATTAGATCTTTCCAAGGCATTTGACAGCATTGATCACATCATTGCGAAACATCTGAACCCTGCCTAGTCTCGTATGGTGTACCACAAGGATCAATTTTGGGCCCAGCATTGTTTAATATCTACATCAACGATCTACCATCTGTACCTAAGGTAGGGTCGTTAGAGTGCTATGTTGATGACTCTCAGTTATACCTCTCATTTCCTGTACGTGATGCCACCTTAGCCGCAGCTCAGCTGACAGAAGATTCTAGGAACATAGCCAAATGGTGTTGTAAAAACAGTCTACTCATTAACCCGGAAAAAACAAAACTTCTGGTTCTGGGGACTCCGCAGTTGCTGATGAAGACACCAGATGATCTAAGCATTACACTACACAGCAAGGAGATTACATCATCCAAGTCTGCGAAAACCTGGGGGTTACAATGGACTGTAATTTAACGTACGACGAACATACAACTCAATTAACTTCGAAATGTATAGGTAGCCTTTGTCAAATAAATCGCGTAAAATACCTGTTTGATAGGCGTACGTTGATTACTATAATTAATTCTCTCGTATTCAGTAAATTATTGTATTGTTCATCAGTATGGGCTAATACCACCAAGAAAAACATCGAGCTATTACAGACAGTGCAAAATTTTGCAGCCCGGATAGTTTCTGGAACGAGGAAATTTGATCATGTTACACCTATTCTTAAGCAGTTACAGTGGCTGCCAATTGTTAAACAACTTGAGGTTAGGGATGCTACCATGGTATTTCAATGCTTAAATGGGCTTGCACCTCCATATCTTTGTCAGAAGTTTAAAACCAGATCAGAAGTGCACAACTGCAACACCAGGAATAGGGACTGCCTACATATATATACCACTCTGTAGGACGGCTGCAGGTCAGCGCGCGTTTACCTTCAGAGGCCAAAGGCTGTGGAATAGTCTCCCAGACGAGTTTCAGTCTATCACTAATTTAGATGTATTTAAGGTTAAAATAAAACAGCAGTTTTTAAGAGTATTTTTGGAAAACTAAGTTTTAGATATTTGACATTGTAAATTAAGCTGAAAAGCCTTTTTGAGGAGATTAATAAAGTTATTATTATTATTAGTTTCTATAATGTGCCCTTCTCCATTCTAATTTTCTTTCCTTTTTTATTATGTACACATAGTTTAATCAACCTTGTACTAATTGATATTGTACAACTAATGTATTATCTATAGGATGTAGTAAAAATAAAAATACAAAATTATACAAATATAAATGTGACGGACCATTAGAAACGTTATTGGAGGGGGCGGGGAGGTGAGGGCGAAGTACATTTAAAAAAATATTTGTGCAAGGGAAAATCTTATGAAAAAAAATACGCACGCCAAGTAGTCTTAAAGAATATTCCCAAAATTCAATGCAAAGGAAATAATAACGAGAAAAATTCATGCGGCTCTAAAAAATCCCCTCCCCCGAAAGGTCTGTCCCTTATCTTCTTCTTCAACCGGAAATGTCACACAAATACATCTTTTCTTTCACTGATTTATGTGTTTAAAAATGTAAAGCAAGGCGTTACACTATATATATATGTCTGGTTTTCTTGTTTTGATCGCAGTTTTGATTTATAATATTTTTAAAAATGAAGAAATGATCGTCGCAGTGAATGCAATTTATGCAATTGTGTAAAGAAGCCTGAAAAAAAAAATCAGGACTTCAACAGGGTTTGAACTCGTGATCTTGCAATACCGGTGCGATGCTCTACCAACTGAGCTGTGAAGCCACTGACGTTGGGAGCAGGTCAATTATGGGTTCATATTTTCCTGTGAAAGAAATGAGTGTAATAATATTTTTGTTGTACCACATTTAGTTTCTAAAATTTTAATAATAACAAAGGTTGTGTGACAGTTTTGTATTTGATTGAGGTGAAGGTCAAAAGGCCACATGTTGACATTTAGCTCCGGGAGCTTCTTTGGCGTTTTCTAGGTCTTCGCTTTCTAGGTCTTCGTTTTCTAGGTCTTCGCTTTCTAGGTCTTTGTTTTCTAGGCTTAGAAAACAAAGACCCTGGTCAAAATTTTGGATAATATTTGAAAACCGTGTTGTTTCTTACACTCCTCTAGTGTCTAGAAGTAGTTATAAGCAGTTTCAAGCCATTTTCAAGTGATTTTAAGGGGGGTCTTCCTTTTCTAGGTCTTCGGTCTTTGTTTTCTAGGGTGTTCGTTTTCTAGACACCCGTTCACAAAAGTCTGAAATAAAAATAACTTACATTTTTTAACCAAATGTTATTTCCATTTTTTTAATATAGTAGAAGTGGAAACCCTTGGGAACCAGAAAAAGTTACTAAGCATCTAGTTGACCACTTATAAGAATATTTTTGTAACCAAAGCATTCATACAGGCTTTTGTTTAGGCTGCCGTAAGTTGAGCTTTCAGTTTACAAGCATGTCCATTAAGAGAGCTTCAATTGGAGCTAGTGTTCTAGATTGCGAGCAAGCTCTCCATTTTGGGGGAGTCGAAAGAGGTCACACAAGAACCGCATGCAAAAAAGGACTAGAGTGCGAGGGGTGGGGAAGGAAAGGATAGCTTGCAATGATCTCTTATAAATTTTCATTTCCACCCCGGAAATCGCAAAGCATGAAAACTGTATCAGCTGCTTCCAGTTAATACCCTTATCAGGCTAAAAAAACGCATTCCTAAAAGGAGTAAAATATTTCAATCCGTACTAAAACAAGCCTTGTAAAAGAAGATAATTGGCCTGGAGCTTCTGGTCTGGATCATAGCCTATAACCTGAGTCAGATCTACAATATTCCTTGAATTCAGCAAAGAAGTGTTACTTCAAAGCAACTGCATTCTGTTTTTACTTTAGCATCATCAGAAATCACATTTTGTTACTTTCCCAGCTGTTTTAAAAAAAATCATTTATCACTGCAATAGTTTTCTTTTTTCCATGAGAAGACTGATTTTCCAGGTATCCGCTTGGATATGAAATCAACTGCTTTCCTTTTGGGGAAACTCACAAACACAACAAACGTGCCCAGATTTACTATTGTAATACATTTTCCTGGCAACCCCTTAGCCTTCTGATTTGCTGGTTTATGATGACAGGTTTAGGCCGACAAAAAAATTTCTGCAAATGAGCTTACGGTGATTTGAAATCACCTTTGGCTATAGATTATTAAGTGTAACTAAAGAAAGCATTCTGCAAGTTTAGGTGTTGCAGACATTGCCTCAGAGGCTGCTCTTTTAATTATTTGGTTGCGCTTTATGACACCTTGTAAGTCACAAGGGAAACTAAACGTCAGTTATTGAACATTTTCCAGAAACTTTGCCTTGTTTAACTCACGTGGCTAGCAGCAGTTTTCGTATGAATTCCCACTTACGTATTTCTACAACACTGGGGCAAATAGGCTTGTAATCCTTGTGTTAACATCTTTTCCTGTGTAAAGCAACGCACTTGAGAGAAATCCGAAGTAAAAAAATGAAAACTTGAGTTGAATTCCTTGAATTAAAGTAAAAGTGCATCCAGTGAGTTGAATTACCTATAAAAAAAACTATCAATGAATTGCCACTAACCAGTAAAGATTTTGCTGGGTTTACATACTGGTACACTTGCTTAACTCACCAAAATCGATAAAGCGCGAGGCTTTCATTCAGGTCAGGCCAGAATGAAACATTGTTTAGTATTTACGCTCAAAAAATAGTTGTAAACGTTCTTTAGTAAACGGCCGGTAATGGTCAGACTTGCAGAAATTTCAGGCTTTGCGTTCATGCAAAACACCACAGACTGATTTAGGCTTCGCAAACAACTGTATCCTTAGTAAAGACTGCAATGAACACATTTAGGACTCACTTAGATGTGGAGACTCCCGGTATTTTTACTGAAATGAAATAAGACACTGTGTGAAAAACCTCTCCTTGATCCTGTGTCCTGTTACGTATCCCTGCAGGCGGTGAAGGGTTATTTACAACTTATGTACAAGATTGAAAGGCTTCCTGGTGAGAATTTTTTTTCAGCCTAATCCTGCCATATGATGTATAATCCCTGGGCTTGAGATCTAAACTAAACCGTAAAACAACAACAACAACCACACAGTGATCCATAGTAATCTTTCACTGAATGAAAGATGGAGAATGGTCTTCTTCCTTGGAAAAAGGAGAAGGATCAGGGTAGACAGCTGGGTAATTTTCTTGATTTCCATGAGCATCATGTTTCTAAAATTTTGGCCAGCAATGTCCTCAATCAAAATTAATTGACGGTGAGTCACTTTTCAGTTAATGGTACACGTATGTTATATTTCGCTACATCTGGGGGAAGGAGAAATGACAATTTATAAGAGATCCTGGCAAGCTGTCCCATTCCTCTGTCCCTCTTGCTCGCATGTTCCCTTGCGGCTCACTTTACTAGGTCATTATTGGAGAAATTTCTCACAGGCTACTGGGGTTTTAAAGGACCTTTGCTGGCAAAGAAAACACTCCCCACAAAGACACATCAAAATACCTCATGCATGTTGTACATGCCTCTGCTTAATATTAAAGATGTTAGTTACTGCTGGAGTAAGTGAGAAAGATGTCAGAATAATAACATTTTAAGTATGAGACAAGAAAATAAGTAGAAGATAGATAATACATATAGGTATCCCCATGCAGATTATGCAGATTGAGGAGCAGTGTAATTGGTCCTCCTTGATCTGCACAATTCTTTAGATTAGACTCTGCATAATCTATTTATTTAGACCCTAACATGGTATAATTATTGAAATAATAATTAGACATAATTGCATGAGGCTGAGTATGATCTAAAGAATTATCGAGAGGCTCATTAGACCGAGGTGGATAACACCCTCTGAGTTGACCTCTATAACTCTATAGATCACACAAAAGCCGAATACAATATTTCTTTATTATCCATTCAAAATAATTACTTCAGCGGAGCCAAAGTAAAGGATTTGCGACACTCAGGAATGTATCAAAGTTGCAATTTTTTGACAAGATTAGGTATGCAAGGTCTGTAGGTTTTCAGTTCTATTTGGCTATTTGACGAAGTGAGAGTTGAATTAGTTCTAGATATTTTGAGATCACTTCGATTTCTTTGATTTATTCTTTAACTTTTTCGAGGAAGAAAGAATTATCATTTTGGCGTCCCAGGGGTTTGAACCGACTCACCTGTGTGACCCATCAGATCAGAGGAGACTCTAAGTTGAGGGATTAGCCGATTGCGCTACTGCGACCCACGGTAGTTTGGGATATGAAAAATAGTCATGAAATGATGCACTAGTCTCGGGACAAGATTGGGCGAGCAAGTTCGTGACTTTTCGGCTTGTTTCAACTATTTCACGAAATGAGACCCGACTACTTTGTGATATCTTGAGATCACTTCGAGTTTAGTCTTTAATTACTCGAGGAATAAATAGAGGATATTTCGTGGCCGCGCAGAGACACAAAATTTCTCTTCGAATGTTGAAAAACATTTCACGAGTGAGCCCTCCTTTCGAACTGTTTTAAGATGAATTTAAGGTTACAAAATGCTGCACAAAGACATTTTGTCTTTGTTGAGTGTTACGTAGTAAAATTGCTTTCATGCGTTGCATAACTTTCTCGAACGTTCTCTACATTTTTGGATTATACATGAATAATTAATTAGGGCATGTTTACATTTCAGCATGAGTCAGCAGATTTGCATCAGTTACTGAATTCATAAAATATGTTGAAAAGCTACTACTATTCGCCTGTTTAGTATTTTCTAGAACCTTATGTCAAACAGTATACAAGTTCCAAGCGAGTTCTTTTGACGATCTAAGTTTTTTCCCATGAGCTGGACTGCTGTGTTTAGTCAAGTGTGACAAAGGTTGATTTTCAGTATCTGAAGTTCAAGTGAGAGTTTGTTATTATTGGTAGAGGCTGTTTAGTTTTACTCAAAGTTCAAGTCAAGTTTGTGTTGGTGGATGCTGTGTTTTAAAGCTCTGTAAAGGCTATGTTCCTTTAGGGTTAAACTTCCTTGTGTTAATCCGACATCCCTGCGTGCTGATAGTCAGTGAATAATTATCCTCAAAACATTCGAACTCGTGACTTTGAGTTTTAGCCAATTCCATGCTCAACGTAATTGACTCCTTACCCATGCCTTACATATCTTTAATCAGTACATGAGACTGCTATGCTGTTTTTGAAGCCTGATGTGACTAAGAAAAACTTTGGAATTTTTTTTTTTTAAGGATTTGTATGGAGTCATCAGAGCATAACTGGGCTAATACCTCGGAGACAATTTGTCCCAAAATGCTAGTTTTTGGCAAGTAGGCCTCTTCGATGTTGCTCTTTTCAGAATATCCTGACAAATCCCATAATTTCACAAATTAACACCTTACTCTTACCATATTTGATTTCTTACTATTCCTCCGTATTTACAATTAATTAGTTCCACAACCACGACGCCGAAGTGTACGATCTGTAGTGTCTTGTTCCTAGTTTAAAAACAAGCTTAAACATGCTTACCTCCATTGATGTTAAGTTCCCTTCTTCATTTGCATGTTTCTTGGCAAGTTCAGGAGATTATAAGATGTTTAGTTCTGTAGACAGTGACAGATCCAGGGAAGGCCAAAACTGCCCACCTACCCCTCCCCTAAGCCAACATTTTGCCCTAAGTGAGAAGTAAGTGATAATATTGACTTAGGGAAGGGGTGGGTGGTCAGTTTCCCAGAAACCTAAATTGATCCAAAATTTTTTTTGTGGGGGGGGGGGGCGGCGGCTCGCCCTTATTTCAGTGTCTGGATGACCGTCCCCCCCTCCTTATCTGAAGGTCTGGATCCACTACTGGTGGATTTGCCATCCATTGACTGGTATTGTTGCTGTTCTTGTGATGTTAGGCAGAAGTTTGGCTATTTCTCCTTTGCAAAACGTGTGGGAAATGTTCCGCCATTTTGTACTGCTTTACCAAAACAACAACAATGCAACCTCGTCCCCAGTGCTCTTTAATTGCCCCCTATTTTTCTGTCATTTATACTGTACTATTGACATCATTAATTTCCAAGTAATGAAAAATGACTTCCAAATTTAGTCAACTCTGGCTGGTTGTGAAGAATTAGCCATGGGATTTGAGAAATATTCTGAATGAATAATAATTTCAATTATGCCACATTAGGGTCTGTATGAAGTAATTTAATATTATTGTACATACAGACAGAAAATTATTGGTATGTGTATGACAAGAAAATAAAAGAAAACGATTAACTATAAATACCTGAAGAACACGTTTATTTCTTGATGCCAGATCATCTGACAAGAAGTTTTTGAATGAGAAGGGATTTGTATTACCAGGTTCTTGGTTAACATCAACATGGCCTGTAAAGGCAAACAGTGAATTCATTTGGGTAATTTCAACTTGATCGCACTAACTTAAACATTCTGCTTTCTACCTGACAGTAAATAGGTACAGTTGAACCTCTAATAAGTGGCCACTCTTGGGGTACAGGCAAGTGGCGTCTTAATGGAGAGGTTGGCTGCTTAATAGAGGTTCATCATAAAATTAGCATAATCTTAAGCAGAAACATCACTTTATTTTGAAAGAAACACCAATGGGAACAGCATTACTGGTCCACAATAATGTCCACAGTCGGTTGGCACCTTCTATCTCGGACTTTATTTTCTTTCATCATATTCTTACCGCGAAATTTGTTGTATCGCGCTGCTCGTATTGCAAACTTAGAAGGGATTTTGGGTTTTTCTGTTCAGTCAATCATTTTAGTGAAGGCGGGGTTAAGGCAAATCACAGTGTAACATGCTCGCCTAGCTTGGCTGAGAATGACTCTAGACTGCTCAAGAATAGCGAAGAAAATCCCGATGGTGAGTGGAATTTTTGTCGAAGGAAGTGACAAGAATAAGAAAGATCATAAAAATCTCCGAAGCAAACTTAACTAGTTGATTATTTCCCCAAACAGGACAATCACAAAGCAACGAACCTTGAAACAAGAAACAAACACAACAGATCAAAATCCACCAATCATGAATCACGAACCATGACCTTTTTAACTCGTGTGAGTAAACATGTGTTTTCTAAGAGGTCTGCTAAGATGATTGACGGAACAGAAAAACCCAAAATTGCAAAACGCACATCATGATACAACTAATCATTTTGCTATAACACTAATCATAAACAAAGGTTACCGAGCGCAGGTGACAACGATCATAGGTGGAAATGCTTTTGCTCCAACACTGTGCTTTGCATAAGTTTTAAGTGACAGATGATCAAAATACGCATGATTAGATTACGAGTGATAGAAGGTCCAAAAGTGCGTGATCGAATTGCGTTAAGGGCATTCCATTCATTCTTAGTGGAAGTCAAAACCAATGCTGGCTACATATATGCGACACATGCATAATAACAACCTGGAGATTACGGGCGACAAGAGGAGCACGCAATAAAGCCAAACTGAGTGTTTTGGCCGCTTGATGTCCACTTGAGAGAGGTGAAAATACTGGAAGAATTCTTGTTGGGAAGGCCAAAAGGTGGCTGAAGCTGCTTAATAGAGGTGGCCGTTTAATAGAGGTGTAATTCCCCATTCTTTTACAATTATTATTTCGGGACTTTGTTAACTCGCCCCTTAATAGAGGGTAGCCACTTAATGGAGGTTCAACTGTAGTTAGATGTTCTATTCTTCTTTATAGACAAGGAAGATAGGATATAGAGCCCTGTCTAATAAGCCTTGACCATATAAAATCGTGTGGTACACCAACTTGGAAAATTAGCTTTTTTTGCTGATAACTGAAATGAGGTTTGTTCCTTTTTTTCTGATTAACTTTAATTCTTTAATTTTTGGACTGTCACACTATTGGATATATTTGGTTTGGTTTGTGTCTAGATGCCGTTTCGAGCCATTTTCAATGATTTTGTGGAGGGTCGTAGTTTTCTACATTTTGGGGGGTTTTTGTAGAAAATGAAGACCCCCCATACGAAACGAGCAGCGCTGCTGCAGCACTGCAGAATGGCTTCAAGAAGCGCTACAAAAGAGCTGTAAAAGCGCTGGGCTGCAGCAGCCGCAAATTTTGGCTGCAGTGGAAAGCCCTTTGACAGCGATAAACAGCACTTTTGCAGCGGTGCAGAGAATTCCCGAATCACGATCTGCGCTGCAAAGTGGCTGCAAAGTGGCTTCGAAAAGACAAAGAATGTTGTTACCGGTAATGGCCTACCACTCGTTAGTACAAAAAAAAGAAATGCAGGCTCCAATAATACAATAGTCACGATACATGGTAGAGGAGTTGACAAGACCTTAGTAGCAACTTATACTTTATTAGTAGCTACGCGTACACGTTACAAAAGCACGAGCCATAGAACAAATCTGCAACAGTCTCGCTTTGTAAATATTTAGCAATCACAGTCACTCATCCGAATGTAAGACATCCATTAACATGCAGACATTGAAAATTATCTTCTTAAAAAATAAAGAGAATAACAGCGATTGTTCTACATAAAGTTTACATGGCCAGCAGGCAAATGATATTTTGATTCGTTGCAAAGGGCTAAGCTGGACATTGCTCACCTTGACGTTTTGTCCATGATCCACGATCTTCTACACTTTTTTCATGAAAGAAATCAGCCCAATTTTACTTTGGTCGTCGTTAAATTTTACAATGGACTAAGGAACGAACATTACCACGAGCGTATAAGAATCTTGTAAGTGCAAACCCCATATGAGATTCTTGTGTCTGTGTTGCTTGCTCTGGTTCGATTTGTCGATACTTAGCGTAGAAGTCACTGTTCATTGCGTTGTTTGCAAATACGTTTGAGCTGTTCCATCCAAAAACTTTAACAGAACTTCCATCTTGAAACAGAACTAGACGCAAAAAAACTTAGAATGTTTGCGCCTTTCATTCAACGGTCGCAAATGTTTGAGTGATCCCGTGTTTGTCTAGAGATGTAATGGGATCTTGTGCAAAAGGACCGAGCAATTAGATTACGGCCTAGAATGTCTCCAGGGAATTAGCGATAACATTCCCACACTCGCCGGTCATGGAATGAAATTTATTGAAATCTTTATTCCGAAAGCATAGAATTTGGAGGTTTATTCAATAAGTGATCTTCCTTACACACAAACTTACTCACATTTCTTAGAGGTACAGTCAAAGTTTTCGCGTTATAAAAGCCGTAATCTGTGTCAAGGCTTTATCTGGCGATTCATGTTATTGGCGCTCAAGAAAGTCAGATCGACCGCAGCTGAATTGTAGCATTACTGTAGCTCCTTCGCAGCATTTGAAAGTCGGCAACTGTGCTGCAAAGCCGCTGCCGAGAGCTTCAAAGAGCCTTCAAAGGCTGCACAGCGCTTTTGCATCCCGCTGCAACTTGAATGAAGCTGCTGTTTGGCTTCTAAAATGCTGCTGAACAGCTGTAATTTAGCTGTACAGCTATTTTGAAGCAATTTTGTGGTGCTGTACAGAGCTGCAAGTTTCGTACGGGCCTGGTCAAATTTATTGGTAAATGAAGATCTTGTTGTTTCTTACACAGTTCAGGTTGATATAGCCGTTTCTTTTTTCACATTCATAAGTAACTCTGAGGGGCGTGTTCATTTTTAGGTCAGGTTGTAGGTTTCTACCACCTACAATCATGGACAAAAGTCCTTGGGACAGTACTGAAATATTCATATTTTTCTGTCATTTCTCGGGTCCCTCACAAAACAGCGCATCCTTTTCGAAATTTTCCTGCAGTTCTCCCTCCCTCGCCCTACACAAATTTGAAACTAGGAAAAAAAGTCTGGATACATGCGTCCAACATTGTTTATGAGGTGAGGGAAGGGATTGGACCTGTGTGAATTGGAGAACGCCCCAGAAATGCAAAAGTGCCCCAAAACTTGTCCACGATTCATGGTTGTAGCTTACCTTGTTGACTATGAACAGGCTTATTAGCTGTAACTTCCGGAAAAGGTGATTCATCTGGACAAATTTCCCCTTTGCGAGAATTGTGCTGTTTGTCTTTCTTTTTCTTAATTTTCACGTCTATTGTTTCCTGCTTTGATTTTACAAAAGTTTTAAAAGAGAAAGGATTATCACTTCGCTCACCCTCCGCCATTTTGGATCCATTGTTGTTACCTCTGTGAGTTCTTTTCGTGGGCTCAAAAATAATTCTGATTGGGTAATCCTTGTGGTCTGGCGATCTGCCCTGGCGAGACGCCTGGCGATAGACAGAAGTTTACACACATAGCAACAGGCACAAAAATAGAGTACGTTTCCACCACAGTTGAGTTTTCAAAGAAAATTAAAAGATGGCGAACCATAAGCAACCGAGGTTCTCGACCTGGTCTCGGGAAACATATGTTGATCCTATGAATATGCCAGCAAATAGATATTATACTCCCCATTTCATGGCATCTGGAGATGACCAAAGATATGGTGAAGGCAGAGAAAGGTGGTTTCAAGATTACCGCCGTTCGTACATAGCTGAAAAAACTTTGGCAAAAAATCTGAACACGTTTGGTTCTCCTTACCGACCAACCAGCTTTTCTGATAAGCCAGACCGTGTTCTGGGAACTCGGTGCATGCGAAGGGAAGCTGTCTTACATAAACCTCGACATCACCTTACAAATCGAATTCCCGACAGACAGAGAGACCGCGCTCAAATCGACGACATTGTATTTCAACATCGCCAGCAGTACAGAGACCAAAGTGGAACTTTGTTTGATGAAAAAGTGGATTATTTTCACTACCCAACTACGGCAGAAGAGCAGTTTTTGCCAAAAGCTAGCCCTCATGAAGGAACAATTGGAAGTTACCCAAATAACACAAAAGCAGCTTTGGAATACGTCTATGACAAGGAGAGAGGTCCTAAAGACTATGAATTGTGGCATAAGGTTTAGAGGGTTGATATTAGCAAGACACACAGGCGATGTGATACACTGTATTAGTTTCCTGCGCAGCCGTTTTTTGGGGATATCACATAGCAAGCATTTGGGATCCCAATATGCAATGTGTTAAAAAATAAGAAATTAATTGAACTAAAATTGAGGAGGGTAGTGTATCTGTCATCTGGTCTAGACTCTTCAAAGCCTTTCTATTTTCTTCATGCAAAGTGGTGACACACAACAGGAACGCCCACACCCTGGAGCAAGCAACTCCAATTTCCTATTTCAGGGCATTTTCACAGCATTAAAAGGTGAAAAATACTGTTTTTAGGTCTTGCTGACTGGTTTGTGGGACTTAGAGATATTTTTATTCCATGCCCAAATCACTCTAAAAATATACTTGTTGGTAAAAAAGAAACAATGCGACGGGTCAGACTTGAACTCCCAGACCTCCAGATCCAGGGTTCAAGGTGTGTTAATCACTAGGCAATGCACACCTCCACATAGACCATATTGTAAAATTTTAATCTTAATAATTTTATTCGTTTTAAGTCAGGTATATGATCTTCTAAGGGAACCACCTTAAAGACTCTAAACATTTCGCTCTCTTGATGTAAAAAAGTACAGTCAACGTTTGCCTTGTGGACACTGAGATGCATTACAGACAGCAGCTAACTCCCCTGGCAAAATAAATTAAAGATGTTTGGCTAATATGAACTCCAGCATATGGACTCTTTCTGTAAAGGACACTATTAAACCACGGTCCTGAAGGTGTCCAAATAACAACAGTAATGCTGTTGAGTTATAGCAGTGGTGCATCATAGCTGTGTGGCTTATGGTGTCTGCACCACCCTGCCAGTTATTTCTATTTCCTGAATGATCAACATTACTTATAATAGCCAAATTGGCTATCCTAGTATTTAGTCATGGAAGATGTAATGTAGCTATGCTAGTTTATGCTTTGGATTATATTATATTAAGTAGAAAATGAAGTTTTAAACTCCTTACTATCATATGAGTCAGTTTTTAGTCTGTTTGATAAAAAGACAATTTTCCATGGTCTATACTGAGATATAGTGTGGAACCAGGTGCCGTTGGGTAGTTATGGCTTCACCGCAAAAAGTTTGTAATTAATTTTTTTGTTCCTTTGAAAGAATGTCATATAATAAAACATTTTATTAGCTTCATCATTATCTCAGTAAATACAGTAACTTAATTTCTAGCCCTGTTCACTTTGTTCTGGGGGCATAAATGTGGGGGGTTTGGGTAAATTTATCATACAGACATATTAAGAGGTACATCTATAGTTCTTTGCTTATGAAACAGAAAAAGGTTATTCAGTGGTGGATTTATTCAAAGTTGTAACTTTTGAATAGCTGTTTGAATGGATGTTTTAATTAAGGCTATGAAATAATTGCAACACAGGGTTGAAAATAGCACACTTGCTGGCCACTTTTCACTGAAGAAATAGAAAATGTCATGCTTTGATTGGCCAACTGAAATCGAAGTTGCTGCAATTTTGTAGTAAACATTTCATGTCAGACAATAAAGCAGCCAAGAAATGGTTTAAAAGCTTTTTTGAAACGTTTTAAAATGAGTAGAAAGGGTAGAAAACGGTTTGGAAATTTAAAGCAATTAAGCTGCAAAAGTTGAAAAGGAGAATTCTTGTTCACCGTAAATGACTAATTCATCTACGCATTTTTTTAGGTGGGTGAAACATATATGCAAATTTGTCTAGACAATCTGTTGCATTACTGCCTTTATGTTTGTGCACTTGTAATAAAGATTTATTTTGCACAAAAATTGTTTAGAGCCATTTGTGAAGCCTTTTCACTCGATCAAATTAAAGTTAGTTTTGTATTCATATTGCTTGACAGAAATTATGGATTTCCCATGTTTGTGCTCCATCTTGGTTTGTGAGTGAAGAAGCACAATGATTTGTCTTTGTTTGAAAGGGAATTGTTGCAATGAAACACGGTAATCAAAATGAAGATTCCAAAAGTGACGTTTTTGCAAAATCGTTTTAAAATCATGTCATATTTTCATGATCAACGTTTCTCAAGGAAGAAAGTGAAATTTCAATTCAGAAAGATTTTGGTAATGTGACATGCACGCTAATCGCTTGAAAAGAAAAAAAGTGATTCATTATTGACAGCCAGGAAAAATAGGTCTTTAGACAAAAAAGCTGGGATTTTATTTTGAACTTTGCAACAGTCTGCATAGGTTTTTGTGCTGCGGCATTATAGACCTCTTTTATAATGGTGGTATATTGATATATTCTTTCATAAGTATGATAATTGTCAGCCTTTCTGACCTCGTTAGCATGTGCAAAATGAAAAAAAATTCTTACTTTTATACAAGGTCAGTTAGGCTAGTTATCACACATATAAAAGAATGTGTTAATGGCCTGCCATTATGTAAGAGGTCTATATAATGATGAAGAATAATTCCTGGATCTGCCCCAGTGTTCCAGGTGTGAGTCTTACCATAAAGGGATGCAAACAATAACACAGTTTAGTCTGAAAAAAAGGGTCAGGATTTGAAGGCACACCCTCATTAAAAATCCACGAAATAATTAAAATATTATGACCATGAAGTAATTTATAATATAGCCTCCCACGCAGACATTCTTACAGGTTCATCACGCAATCATTCCTCGTGGGGAAGGAACCCGTGACGAACCCCTAAGAACGTTTGCGTGGGAGGCTATTTATAATAATAATGCAAATAAATGAGACTGTTGTGCAGAAATAACCCAGTTGGGGGGGGGTACTGCCATATATGGGCTATATATATAGGTGTGTGCCGCTGTGAAGGGTATGGTCTTCATGCAGTTTACTCTAGGATAGGGTATATAAATCAGAGAGTTTGGGTCTAGAATAGGGTATCATTTTTCAGGAAACTGATCAGTTGGTTGAAGATTTTATCTAGACTAGGGATTGTGGGATAAGGCGTTGTTTTGGCTAGACTACTGTGCTAGTAACCTCAGTAGTTTTTTGGAAGAGTTTACTCTAGTATAGGGTAGCAAAATTCTAAACTAGCTAGCTCTGGTATAGGTTAATGGTTCCAGGATCCCAGGGGCACATCCTCACCAAGAAATTCCTAAAGTACCCCCACCCCCCGGGAGAAATAATGGCCAACAGGAAGTAAAAACGAAGTTGTGATAATATTATATATTATATTTGGCTTTCTTGTCATATAGAAATTTATTATTACATCTGTCAGACATGCTAGTATAGTCCAAAAAATGTTCAAACAAATTTAAAGTGCCCTTTAAAATGAAAAGTGAAAAGAAAAAATTACAGTAACATATATAGCAAGATGTTGAATTCAAATTTTCTACAGGAAGCAAATTTTGCAAGGAAAAATTAACTATAGTTTATAATAAAATGTTCAAATTTTTTTTTTATAAAACAATAGTATTCACTTATAACAGTGAAGATTATAATAATTTATTATTATGTTCATTAAGTAGCTGTTTCACACAGATATTAAAAGTTCATTTTCAAACAAGAGTCTGGGTCATTCCTTCTTTGCTGTTTCTTGTTCCATACAGTTGGTGTCACTTCAATTGAGTTTTATCTGTAATGGAAAAGACATTATACAAAAACTTGATTATTTGAGGCCTGAATTTAGTCACCCTAAGTGAATTAGTCCATTTATGCATGGAACATGCAGGGGCCCCCAACATCAATTTTTGGAAAATACCTGTTCAGAGGACAATTTGAGATCTAGAATTTTGTAAATTTTCTTGCTTGCCTGCCTCTCCTAGGATTTTTGAACATCTAAAAAATGGTATCATTGCCCATTTTTAACGGATTTTTACCCGAAAAAGTTCACCTAGAATTTTCAGGAGCCTTTTTTCTGCCTGAAAGTTTCAAAAGGTAAGTTTTGAATCCTATAATTTTCGGATCACTAAATTCAGCTAGGAAATCTGAACCTGTAGATTAAAAATTTTTAGGGGATAAAAATATGCCTGTATCTACCGTTTAAATAGTAAAATACGTTTAACAATGCTACATTTAAGTGGTTTTGAACAATATTTTGTTGGGTGCCACTGAATGTGAAGGATAGAAAGGCTAATAGGAAACATTCTAAGGGATTTTTTTTCTGAAAAAGGGGACGGTGGAGCCCCAGGCAAATGGGGAGAGGGCGGGGGAGAGCATAGGTTTTTCAGAGAAGATAAAGACTAACTAAGAGGAGACTCTCTTACAGTCAAGGCAAGTCAAGTGTACCGCCCAAGATTCTATAAATGAATTGATTATTTGAAAAGACTTTTCAAGTGAATCTGTTGGTCATCGCCGTAACTAGTGTCAAATTCAAATCAGCATTTCTGCAAGCATAATGAGCAGTGAATATTTTACAAGAACTTTTCTGTACTTGGTCTTATTGAAAATCTTTAAACAGATAAAATTGCTTGAAAGACATTTACATCAAATTCAGGGAAACTGAGCTGGTAGAAATTCCATAACTGCCTTGAGTGTGCAAGCAAGGATGCAGAGATGAATCTGAAATCTACAACTACCAATGGATTCAACTTTCGAATAATAGACAGTGGCGGACCCAGGGGGGCCTCCCCCCCTTATTTTTGGACCAAACTGAACTCTGAAGGGCTGAAAAATTTTTCTTTCAGACCAAGTCCCCACCTTATCTCAGGGTCTGGATGACCGCCTCCTTCCTTATCTGAAGGTCTGAATCTGCCACTGATAAATTTATTAATGGCATCTTGGGGGCATACGCTTGACCTGACTGGCCTGACTGCAAGCCTCCCTATTTAAAGTCACTAGACAGCTCCCCACTCTCCTGCCACTTGGAAAAAACATTGTCCTGCATGTACTATCCTTGGGATTTTTTCATACGCCATTTCAATAATGACTAATTTTGAAGGCACCTATTTTTAAGAAGTCCTACGAAAATCCTCGTACTTAATTTCAGGGTTATTATCAAGGATTACAAACGCACCGTAGAGGGAACTTAACTCTTCTTGTTTTGTGGCCATCAGAGTTTGTAGTAATTGAAAATTAGTGGGTTTTTCTAAAAATTTTTGTGAGCCTTCTCTTATCCACAGAATGGGAGCATAAAGAATTGTTTACCTTTATCGGGAAAATGTCTTCTTTCCCTGTGTTTAACAGGTGTACTGTTAAAGTCAAGCCTACTGACATGATGTTGATTCGAGTCTCCCTTGAAAACAGAACTTGTAAACGCATTTGGGTTGTGTTTCCTGTTTGCTCGCAGCCAGTCTTGCTTAGAATTGAGTTCCACTGTACACCAAGATTCTATGTTCATAGTTGCGAAAAGATTATCAGAACCTTTCACGAGGCCGTGAGCAGGGTAAGATGAGTTGATTTGCCAAACAAACTGAGGTTTCTATGGACACTTTGCACTAGTGCCAGTCCAAATACACTGTGCTGGAATGCGCCATCATCCGTCAGGCGTGGTTGCTAATTACCAGCCCTGGTGTTGTGAGACGCGCGCGCGGAGGCAAAATGAAGACAATTTTCACTGAAACTTCATTAGACACAAAAGTTTTGAGTGTTTTGGGGTAGAAAACGTACCAGAGAGAATTTTCAACTTACAAAGGGAGATGTATGCGATTTACAAGCAAACGCACCCTCCAACAGGAGTGGAACATTGCGTGCATTGTCACTTTATGTCACCAGTAGAAAGTAATCTGGTCGTGGCCGGAACGTCTCAACTTCGAATTTACAGATTTTATAACCACGAAGAGGTAGGATTTGGACGATTTTTGTCATGAGTGATTTTATTCAAGTGTAGCGGTCGGTTAAACCTTTGATTATTAATACTGGTTACAGTCACAATTACTGATTAAACCTTAGCAGCCGGGCCACATGTAGGCTGAACTGAGGTATATGACGAATGGTCGCGTAGAGGAAGCTCCGCGGATCCAATGAAACGAAAATTTGATACAGAAATAAATTTCCATGACACAAGCAGTTGACTACTACTACTAAACGACCTTCAGCCCTACAGATTTTGCAGTCTGAGAAAATTCACACTATATATATTAAATTAGTGCTCTTGTTCCTTTAGCCTTTGCTGGGATACTTGTATCAACAGGAAGAAGGGGCAAATGGAAATATGAGGCTCTGTATGAGTATTTTGATGAAATCAAAGTTGCAATGATAGCCATGATAAAATGACGATCTTAGACGTAGAGCAATAACAACTGTAAGGACAACTGCACAGACAACTTCTTGGACTTCCTGGGCAGCAATGATGGAGCAGGGTTGAAACAATAATATTTATTTTTTCGCCTTTTCTTTCAAAGCCTACCTGTATTAATGATAGAGTAAACAGAAGGGATAAATTCTGTGACTGAAATCTGTAAATGAAACTTGTTCTTACAGCACAACACAGCAACATCAGCATCTTCAGAGAAGGTTGCAGGTTTGTTTCTTCCCGTTAACCGCTGTTTGAAATCCTAAGCTTCACCATCAACCTACCCTGCGAGCAGAGGCTACATTTTCGCGGTATGAGCTGGCATGCGAGAAGTAGCCTCTGCCGACAATCATTCAAATCCATCCAGAAATCTGGACGAAAAAATTAAAAAACGTGTTTTTTCTTGTTCTTGACCGGTTTAGAGCATTGCGTGAGTCTTGCGTCAGCGAATGAATGCTGACCATTTTTGCACCTTCATGCACCCTTTGCGCCAAATTCTCGCATACGAACACGGATCAACGCAGCTCGTACAGCTCAAACGTGGCAACAGGAAAAGCTTATTTGCGCCCTAAGTTAACTGCTTAAATGGTCATGAAACTACTGTTTTTTGAAATGAAAACTTCGTAAAAATGCGCCGGTGGAGTAGTCATTTATAAATGGATTATAACGGCACTGCGAAAAACGTTTTAGAACATTTTTGCAGCTTTTGATATATAGTGTCAATGCATCTGTAGTAATTTTTACAAACGCGTGAAGATGGTTTAACTCTGGCCAACAGATCATAGCATCAGTGATAGACAGAACTTACTACAGTTGATAGCATTGAAATACTTTCCTAAAAAAGACGATCCATGGAAATTTTGCGGCTAAAATACTTAAAATCAGAGGGGACGAAGCAGAAAAACAAAACAAAAGCTCGAGGAGAGTAGTTCGCAGGTAGTTTTCGCAAGTTTGATTCCCGCGAAACTCACGCAGATTTGACGAACCAGTTGCTTGCAAATCGTGTGACAAATTTTGTGTGTGCACGATAGAAAATTGAACGGTTGTTGGCAGAGGCTACTTTTCGCATGCCAGCTCATACAGTGAAAATGTAGCCTCTGCTCACAGGGTACCATCAACCAGATGATGTAAATGTTATGACATAGTTGTGACTATGACATAGTTGACAGCTGTTTGCATACGACCACATCAGCTTTGCTGAATTTTTAATCAAGTTTAAATAAATGCTGTTATTGTTATTATTATTATTATTATTATTATTAGTGTGTATTTGGTAGGCTCATAAATCCTTTGTTTCATGATGGTCAACTTGTCATTGATTGCATTTACTACAAATAACAAGTGTAATACTGGTATATAACAAAGTGACCACTGTTAGACAAACAATAACATGCCTACATGCAGTGTAAAGACACCACAAGTCTTTCCATGGAGTGCTAGGTTAGCTGTACTCAATAATTTTGACTATTTCACTAATCTGGGATACAATCAATGAATTTTGATAAGGCAAATAAATAGATTAAAATTGGTTTCACAGTACAGAAGTACCTACATGTAGTCTGTACTGTGATGATTAGGTGGCAGGCAACATGGATGATGAAGTTTTTGAAAAGTGACATCATAAAATTATAAGTGCCCACATTATTCATTTGTGTTGTTGAATATTTTAACCCCTTTTGCCAAAGACCGTTAAATCTATAAATGGTTGTATAACAACTTGAATTTTGAGGCAAATCTTAATCCTACAGTCGTTTTTCTTTACAGATAGCACTACTAAAAGAAAGAAGTTAGAGCGACTCAGCCAATACCCCTTGTTTGGTAACATAGAGTGCCTTCAGGCAGTTAAGCTGGCAGGAAACACAAGGGATTCACTGTTAATGAGCTTCAAGGATGCTAAGGTACAGTGAGTAATAATATTATTTCAAACTCATGTTAATGGAAGGTCGTCTCAGACAACTGCCATTCAATTTTATGACACTGAGCGTACACTGTCCTGATGATGTACCTGTAGAGAACTTAGATTATCTTTATAGGTAAATTGTTGTAACACTTAAGTTAAATTGGCATCTCAGAGTAGTTTAAATGGCTAATAAAGAACACTGTCTTGTGTAATGCACGCAGTTTAAATACACAAATCATCAAGATGGCCTTATAATCAGGACACAGTCCCATGGTGTTCAGTTTGTGCATACAAACAACAAACCTCCTTTATCTCCCAACTATAATGGTGTAAATCCTCCATATAGGCAGGGTTTCTAATCTCCCTCATAAGCACCTTATGCACTGGATAAAGTGAGATGAAGGCAAAGTTATAAGAGAGCAATTCTGAGGTCTAGTAGAAAGGGATTGAGCCTATTCATACATGTACTTTACAGTTTCTTCCATGGGGAATGAGAGTGGGCAAGAAAACTAAATTTGTTTGCTTTCATGCAATTGTGACTGAGTCCACAAAGGAAAATAAAACAACCAACGCAACCCAGACAATTCCAATTTTGTTTAATTTGGAAAATAACCAAACCAAAGGAGGCCAGTGCATTCGGCAGCAGCTAAAAATAAAATTTGCATTCTCTTTCATGTAACGTAAACAAACACTAAAACTGACTTTAAGGTCGCTTCGTTGACGGTGAAGATGACCTTGCACACAATAGATTTTGTGTAATAAAACCACACAAAAATAAGTAGCTAGAACTTGAACTGGATGCAACAATTTCCAGTGTAATAAATGACCAAAATATGGAAAAGGCCTGAACTTGATTAACAAGCTTTCACTGCTGTTATGTACTTTGTAAACACCTGCGTTGGCGTGTCTGACCACTAAAACTTATACACCAAACACAAAATCCCAAAAATGCCTGAACTTGATTAACAAACTTTCACTGCTGTTAAGTACTTCGTAAACACCTGTATTGGCATGTCTGAGCACCAAAACTAATACACCAAACTCAAGTGTTTTACAAAATAGGCAACTAATACCTGAGTCTAAAAGTCCCTAACACTTACTTCTGACTGCACAAAAACTTGTTCCAGCTATGAAATGAAAATTTTATGAGCTAATCTCATGTCACTAAATGACGTGTACTGATTGCTTTGTCGATAACAAAGATCACACACTGCGTTTGGAGCGCATTACAAAATTACTTCTGAACAAATAAATAACATATAAGATATCTCAAAAATAGTTACACTACAATATTAAATTAACTGGCTTACCGGCAAAGGTCTGTCAAAGATTTCGCTCTCTTACTATAAACCTCTGAGTGACACGATGTATCGGGAGTTGTTTAATTACCAGGAAAACACATGACACTGCTCACGACAACAGACACTGTGATTGGTTAATTTTAATTCATTGACAGCACAGCTTGTGAGTGGCTACCTTAGAACTTTGAAATTACTCAGCCATGGAGCATGAGCAAAACATTTTTAAAGGCAAATTCGAGACATGATGATAAATTCAAATGCAAGCCGCATTAAAATGAAATGAACGCTAAATGCTAAAATGAAATGAATGCGGCCAAGGCAACCTTGCCACACAATAGTAGCAGTATAATAATCGAGAATCAACCTGGGATTAAAAATCATTTTAGCCTAAAATCAAATTTGACCTGTAACATTTATACTGAAAGAACATAGTGGGTTGCCTTCAATTACATTAAATTTAGCTTATGTCAAGACAAGCTTACTCAACCTGTTACTCTAGGGCTTCTTGTTTTTTAAAAAACTGCATTTATGGGATTCAAAATTGCAACTGATTGGTCATTGGACCCTCAACTGGCATGTCTAAACATCAGCTAGAAATGGTGATTGTGATTTACAAATAGACAGTGGGATTCTCTTCTACCTGTCCCTGGTTGGGTCTGGTCATGTGACTCCAGAACAAAATTAATTCTGAGGGAGGAGTCCTTTGTCTAAATGTACATCTGTAAATATAAAAAAGACAGTACAAACTGCCATACTGGGAAACATAAGAAGACTGTCAAGATTAAAATAATTTGTAGAAATAGACTATACAGCTAGTAAATGTGACAAACGACAAGACTAATATTCTATAAATAAACTGACAAACATTCTTTCCATAAACTCAAAAAAATGACAAAAAAACGAGGCTACAATAATGGCGTTGTATGGAGAAACTGACATAGAAATAAATATAAGAA